CCCAGGTTGGCATCCTCCCAGGCGTCACTATTTTCCAGGTTAGCATCCTCCCAGGAATCAGTGCCTTCCAGGTTGGCACTGGCAATCAGCACCTTCCAAGTCAGCATCCTCTCTGGCATCAGTGCCTTCCAGATAAGCATCTCCCTGAGTACTTGCGCTTTCCAGGTCAGCATACTTCTCCTGGGAATCAGTGCCTTCAAGGTCTGCAGATCCTTCTGGAGATCAGTCACCATCCCAGGAAGGGATCCCAGGTGTAGACACGGACCTGGTACTTTTGGCATCTTACCCCCTCCAGATCTATCAGCACAGAGGTGGCTATGCTAGTGCCCAGCACGCATGTGGAGCTCAGCTGCTGCCACATCTAGTGGATCTTCCAGTGCGGAAAAGAGGCTGGGAGTTGCCTGTATGCTGGGAAGGCTTGTGTGTTATAAACCTGCAAAGCCACGTAAGACTCCCAGAGGCACATTTGACTCTGGCCCATCATTTTCAGGATGCAGAGAAAGGCCCAGCCATACAATGCTATGTCTACCCAGTGCCTGCTTCATGCAATCCTGGAAACCTGGGGAGCACCTGAGTGACCCAGCTGATTGAGAAGCTCCTGTGTAGGAGTGGGCTATGCAGTCCATAACCTCTATTTGCTTGTTCTGCCCATGCAGACAAAGCAGCTGATGTGGCAGTGGATGAAGAGGACCACAAAGTGAGGCTGGTGGGAGGAGAGCAGGGAGAGAGGCTCCCTGTTCCTCCAAAGGGAAGCTCCCCAAGCATATCCTAATCTGGTGTAGACCCTGAGGCTCTGGAGACAACTGGAGGAGAAGGCTTCTACTTTGGGGAAGGGAGGAGATCATCTCCTCAGAGCAAGTGACACAGAAACATCACGGGTGTACGGCCCTCATGTTGCACAGCAGAAATGTGTGCACGAGAAACATGCAGAGGGCACTGCTGCAAAAAGCAGTGTGACTGCATGTGTCCCCTAGTGCCACCACACTTCACAGCAGGCACACAAAACACTGGGAACTCTTGATTGGACAACAGGACTGTTTCTCATGCAAAGAAAAAGAGGAAAAAAAAAAAAAGCTGGCAGGAAAGTCATGAGCTCCATGAGCTCATCCAAAGAGCTGCTGTTGCTGCTCTGAGAAGGGAGCAGCCACTTCCTGACAGCATCACGAGCAGCAGTGCTTGGGCAAAGTTGAGCTGTTGTCTTTAGACTCCCAACATCTCTGTGGGCACGTGCTTGGCATTTGCTGTCTGTGAAAGACCAAAATCATCCTAGAGGCAAGGAAGGGGCCAGCCCCAGGAAGAAAAGAAACAACCCACTCCTGCAGGGAGAAACCAAAAATACAGCAGCAAGAGATGTCTCACGCCTCTCACCTCTCCACATGTGTTTGGGTGACAGCACATCTGGCCCAGCAGGTGATGTCTCCCCCTTCTCTCTTTCAGGACACAGTTGATAATGGGCAAGAAATTTTCAGGCCTGTGGCAGCTAGATAGGAAGGTAGATGAAGAAGAGGGAGTATGGGGGATCTCAGGGATTTCTAGAGCATTTGGACCCTCTAACAAGTTCCCAGGCAGAGGTATCCCACATGCAGATGAGATGAAAGCTGTGATCAGGGTGAATGTTCCTCACTGCATTCTTAAAGCCTTTGCGTTTGGATTCACTGTATCCCTGGGCAGGGTCCGTGCTGTTCCCACTCTCCCAGTGTCTGGGCAATATAAGATGGAAGTGGCTCCTGAGAGGGATGCAATCCCTCTGGAGATGCCCTGTGCTCTCCTCAATACTCTCAGGACCTACACTGATTAGAATTTAGGCTCTGTCAGCTGTGATACCACTTCCACAGGGTCTGGATGCACGGGTCACACCCAAGGCTTGTTCCCAAACACCAACCTTGCTCTGCCTGTGGGCCTCTCACCCATCTTCACAAATCAGGCCCTGCACGGTGAGCATCTTTGATGCTTAGGATGGTAATTGGGTGTCCAAGCTGCTTATCCATACATCCGTCTATACATCTGCACGTCTCCTTCCCTCTGTACATGCATCCTTCCCTCCCTGCTGAACCACTGTGTATGTACCGTGTGCTTTCTACGTCACCTCGTGACACACATCTATATATCTACACATACACATACACACATACATATACATACACATATACATGTGTGTATATATATATATATACACATATATATGTTTCATGGCCCTATGTCTGCCACGATCTGCCAAAGCTGCTTTTACTTCTTTCCGTGGTTCAGTATTTGGCAGAGAAGGAAGCAGAAGCAGCCATGAGAGGTAAGTTGAGACTGTTTTGCTTCACAGTCCTGTGCAACTCGCCTCCTCCCCTGCACAATGCAGGCTGAACCTGGCAGGAGGGCAGGGAGAGGAGGAGGCTAGTCCTGAGGGCCAGCTCAGAAATTTGGGAGAGTTGGTGGCAGTCAAACAACCCAGGCACCAGTGCACAACCGCCCACAACCAGTGCCCTGCTGCAAAGGCTCTTGCCAAGGTTATAACATTCCCAAATGAGCCCCTGCCTGAGACATGGATGGGGCCATCCTGTGCAGGATAGAGACACAGAGACAGACCTGTCTGCTTCTCAGTGCTGGGGACATTCCCATGTGGCATTGCCTGATGGAATTTTTTTACACCCAATAGTTTCCAGGCCATGTTCTCCCGCACTCTTCTCCTGCTGGTCTTGGGCTGGTCCCAGTTCCCATGCCAGGGAGCTGGATCCACCCCTGCTCCCTCTGGATGCAGATCATAGGCTGCTTTGACCTGGCAAAGCCTCAGCATCCCCAGGCCTGGCTTGTACCAGCTCCCCCAGTGATCTTGGCACAGCATTCAGCCTGGGGAGGATGGGATACAGCAGCAAGGCAAGTTTGGATGTGCTCTGCCTACTTGGGGCAGAGTCCATCCAGGCAGGGCTCCAGCCTGCAGCAGGAAGCCTCCTGCTCATCCAGTGGCTGCATGAGCCACCAGAGAGCCCAAGCCTTGGAGGAAGTGTCCTGGCCCACAGTGGGACAGGGAGGTGCCGGCACTGGGGCTGCTCTCATTGTCCCTTCCTGTTTTTCTTCCACCGCTTGAAGGCAAAGTTGATTTTGGCATCTGGATCCCTCTCCTTTATTCCAGATTGCCTGCTCCCTGGTTCAGTGGAAAGCCCTGTCTGCCCATGTCCAGAGCCAGTGCATCCTTCCCTTGGGCAACTGGGAGTGCATCTTTATTCCCTAAAGCACAGAATATGCTGCTTCCTTCAGGTCCCCAAGGCCTGTGTGTCACATTCACAAGCTGCTGGGGCACGGACCTGAGCCATGAGACATCCCAAAGACAGTCGCAGTGCAGGCATACAGGAGTCTGCAGTGGCATGCAGACCTCATGCCTGCTCTTGGTATCTCCAGCTGCCAAAAGGGTGGCAGGTCCTGACTCTAAAGCTTCTATCAGAGAGGAAAGTGGTCACCCTCCAGGGTCATGGGCAGCAGGATGTAGTGTTGAGGACCAGATGTGCATCTCCTGCCCTCAAGCTGCCGCGGTCACCAGAAGTGGGTGTCACCACCACCTGGCCAGGCAAGCCCCAGCTAAGGAAGGGGACAGAGGGCTTGGCACGTGGGGAGAGTAGATCTTTGAATCCCCTCTGCCTGTCATTTCTCATTTACCCACCTGAGCTTGTCTGCACAACGCAGGTACATGTTTCCTTGCAGACATGTGAGGCTCTGGTGGTCCCTGCTTCCCCTTGCCAGCAGCAACTTCCTGGAGCTAGTATGTAGGCAGGATACAGAGGCCAGAGCTGCTGTCTCACACCCTCTCCCATTTTCTGGCTGCTGTGCTGCTACATCTCGAGCAGGCGTCAGTCTCTAAACCAGCACCAGATGCCGGAAACTACCGAACTGTTTGCAAACACTGGAGCCACAGCTATGGGATGCACATCACCTGTGTTCCACAGCATCTCTGGACAACCACAGCCCTCCACAGCGGCAGAGGAGTGGGATCTGCTGGTGATAGGATTTCAGGTGGTAAAGGCCTCCCATGCCACGCTGGGGACTGAGAACAGACAAGGGTGATCGTGACACGTCAGAATGTGTGGTGCCTGGGTCGGATGACAAGGAGCTGAATCCAGCAGATGACGGCAACGTGACACAGCTCACCTGGGAGAGGGGATGTGGCTGCTGAGCCCAAAAGTCCAGGCAGGATCTGGCTCCTTATACCTCCCCAGCTTGGTGACTTACCATATTTACACTGTGGAGAGCCCTGCTCCGGTCCAAGGAGTGCCACCCCAACTAGCACATGATAGATAGCAGGCTGACCCCTATCTCTTCCAGCCTGAGTAACCATGCTCACAAGGGACAGTGAGGGCCTGGGACCCCACAAAGCCAAGCATGGATAGCCCTCATGACCCCACACCCCGGGCACCCAGTGCGGGCACACAAGATGTGCAAAGGCACATCCTGCCCCAGTGCCCTCCAACCCAGTCCTCACAAGTATCCTTTTGGGGGGTGCCCCCATTCCAGGCTCTCTCTGCATCCCTGGTTCACAGGCAGGACCTCAGGATCCAACTGGGAGGGACCCACCCTGCACTGGCTTTGCTCCCTGTGCTCCATGTGTCGCTGCTGTCTGAATTTCCATCCAGCTCCATCTGGATCTTGTTGGGCTGCTGGCACTGAGCACAGGGGTCGGGTGGTGCCAACACATGGAAGCCATTAGAGGGGCTGCGTCGATGTGCAGCAAGGGGGCCACATGCAGAGCGAGGAGGGCTGTGCAGAGGGACCTGTCCCTGCTGCGGGGCTGGCGAAGGCAGGGGAGACATCCCACACAGCTGCCTGCATTGTCTTCTGGCACTTAGCAAGGGCTGGTCTGGGTAAGGGTCTCTCTCAGCCCCTCCAGGCATCTTGGGAGGGTGCTGACTGGCTTGGGGACCAGCCCTGCTGGATGTGCACCTCCTGCAAGGACCGTTCTGAGCTGGCATCTCACCTAGTGCTACTCACCTCTCCCCTGGCCCAGCATCATCTGCAAGGTCTTGTCTAGGCAGTGCCAATGGCATATCCCCTTTACTGGGGACATTGGCGTAACTCCTTTATTGGCATCACTGCTCCATCCAGCCACAGCATGGGGGAGAGGGGCAGAGGGAAGGGGTGGGGGCAGTTCTCTTCCGCCTGCTGGCGGCTGGTGGGCGATGGCGGGCAAGGCTCAGCACCCCCTGCTCACTGATGCCCGGCACCCCCGGGAGCCTACACCCATGATCCCCCTCAACACTTGGCAGTGAAGTGGGGCTGGCTCAGTGTCTTATCCCCATTTGTTTAGCAGCGCTCAGAGGTGGAGCTGGCCTGTCACCCTGAGCCTGAAGTGACTCCAGCCAGCTCCTGGTGGGCTTGCGCAGTCCAATGGTCCTGGGAGCCAGAATCTCTCTCCTTAGGATCCATCCTGCAGCCCAAGGGTGTTGGGGGCTCTGGCAGTGTCCACAGCTGTGGGTGACCCAGGAGGTGTGGGATCCCTGGGGGCCAGCAGTGGCATCAAGTCCCACATGTGGGCAAGCAGGTGCAGGGAGCAGGGATCAGCCAGGGCTCACTACAGGATCTGGGCTTCTGCCAAGAGAGAGGACAGGGTGTCAAGGGGGCACTGACCTGCTCCCCGCTTCCCACTCCCTGCCTCTCATTGGCCCCATTACCCACCCTGCACCATGACTCACTTGGTAGTGCCTTCAAGTGGGTGGCAGCAACCAAGAAGTTGGGTTTGGTCTTGTCCTTGCCATGTTTCCTCATCCGGAGCCTGGGGAAAAGAGCAGTAGTGGCTGAAGACCCCAAGCAGCTCCCCGGAGCATTGGGATTGCCCACAACCCCAGTGATCCTGCTCTGTGTTCTCATCCATCTGTGCCCAGCTCAGCTTAACCTCTCTGTCGGGTCATCTCCAGGGCTACAGCAGAAGCTGGTCATGAGATAGAGGAGGACTGAGCTGGGAACAGGGACTGACAGCAGAGGGACAGCACGGTAAGGAGAGTGGGCAATGCCCAGTGTAGAACTCTCAAGAAGCAAAAACATATGAAGGGGTGTCTGCGCTGACTCTGGAGCATGAGAGCCCCCAGCAAGGCTGGAGCCTTTGGTGGGGTGTTAGTAGTAGCAGCATCTTTGGGGAATACAGAGAAAGGTCCCATGGATCTGGGCCCATTGGAAAGACCCCAGGCAGACTGGGCAGCACTGAGTGTGCTGGGAATAGGTTTGGATGTGACAGGGGATTGCAAGGGGAGCATAAACCACCCTATGGAGCATCAAGTCTGTCTTGGCAGGGACCCTAGAGCAGGGCTCAGGGGACACAGGACACTCCATGCTGAGGGTTCAGGTGCAAGAATGGCATGGAGACAGCAATTATACAGACCCTTCACTCTCAAAACCCAACTTACCAGATAAGGATGGTGATGACGAGAACAGCAGCCAGAACGAAGAAGGCAAAGATCCCAAGGGACACCAGGACAGCCATCTTCTCCAAGGGGTCACTGCGGTCTAGAACAGAGAGACTGTCACAGCCAAGGGATGCCACAGTCCCTAGCATCTGCGGGACCCTATTGCAAGGTCCTGGACACCCCACCAGCCCAACCACACAAGGGCATGGAGCAAGAGACCCTTCCCCTTGCACTAAATCACACATCTGCCCACCCTGGCACTCCTGACTGCCACCCCATCTCTACTCACTGATGGGCTCAGGGTTGGGAGCCTGGGAGGGCTCCTCAGCCAGGCTCTCCAGTCTGGTCTCTGTAGTGGTTTCTTCACTTGCTGTGGTGGCCAGGTCTGGAAGGACAGAGGGGATGGAAACATTCACCCAAAAGTATGCACAGAACTGCAGGGACCCACAGAGAGGAGCAAAGAAGGTACCTTTATGCCCCAGAGATCCCACGAGCCCCAGGGTGCCCTCAAGGTGCTAGTGGTGCTCTGGGAACCCCACTCTGCCCCAAGTCTGCAGGGGACAATCCCCAAACGGCAGCAGTACATCTGCTATGCACAGCAGCACATCTGCTATGGGCTGGGAGATGTTTTGTCCTCCTGCAGTGCTGTCTCCCAGCTTTAAGTGGTCCAGGAGCTGAGACTTGCTCTGATTGGTATTTGGAGGAATGGGTGCCATGGAGAAGTGACTGGAAAGAGGCAGCTCAGGGTGCTGGAGGGACTTCAGGGAGGGATGGTGCAACATGGTAGGGCTGCTGGGGGATGCAGCCTGTCCCCCTCTCACCTCTGACTGGTGTTGCCCGGGCCTCTGCACTCCACTCGCTCCAATTCCCCGCATCCAGGAAATCCTTGGCACTGACTTGGACCACGTGTTCCAGCCCGGCGAAGGCATCTGTGATAACCTCTGACAGGTTCACTGTCTCTATCTGTGCCAGCAGAGGGGAGGTGTGGGGCAGGCAGGGGCATCCCCCACTGCCCTCTCCAGCCCCATCCACATCCTGCTCCTATGCTAGCTTTGCCTTTCCTTCCACAGCGCTTACCACAGACCAGGAACGGTGGATGACGGGTCGGTACTGGAGCCGAAACCTTAGCTGGAAGTGGGGTTCTTTGGGCCAGGAGGAGGGGTACTTCCAGCTCACGTGGAGCCGCCGCGGGGCCAGGGGAATGGGCTCCACCACCAAGCCCTCTGGAGGATCCGGCTTAACTGTGAGAGAGAGGACAGAAAGCCCCTGTCACACTGCACTGCCATGCAGGGAGAGGTTGGATTCCCCTCTGTCACCCCAATGTAACAGCCCAGGGGATGGATGAACACTGGGACAGACAGAGGGATGGATGGGGACTCACTGATGGCCTGCATGGTGACATCAAGGAGGCGGTAGCTGAAGCCCAGGGGGTTCACCTCAGTGATGTTCATCCGGTAGGAGCTCCAGAACTCTGACCTGTGGACGGTGCAGGTGCCAGGGCGGGATGGATCCTGCAGGCACAGCCCCACGTGCCCATTCTTGTTCCTGTAGGTGGGGAGGCAGGGTGGTGACACATAGTTTCCCAACACTGCCAAGGAGGTGCCACGGGAGACCTCCACGCCAAGACTCTAGTGGAGGAGGCAGCCCCTCCGGCTCAGTTGCACTCACCCTTCCAGAGTCCACCATGTCCCTCTGAGCACAACAGAAGGGACCCCCATCCCAGCTCCAGTCCCCCTGGCAAGGTCCCTTCATGGGGCAAGCCCTTCTCCCAAACCCCCAGCCTTAGGTAGATGGCTCCCCAACGGGGACCCCCAGCCCTTGCTTTGGGGTCTCTGCTGAAGGCTGCAGCAGAGCCTTTGGGATGGGGCCCAGTCCCAAGGGAGCAGGAGCAGGGTGGGAGTCAATCCTACCTCCGCTTCTCTTCACCTGTCAGCGATTTCTTCCTGCCATGGAGACAGATGAAAAAGCAGGTGATGAGGATGAGGGGGCAGCATGAAGCCAACCCCATTGTGACCCAGAGGAGAGACAGGGGTCTCCACACTGCAGAATAGCCCCTTACTCCCACATCTATGCAGATGTGACAGCAAGGGAGACAGAACTAAAACTATACCCAGGTCTGTTAGTGAGCAGCCTGGCAGCAGGAGGTGGGGGTCCCAGGGAAAAGAGACTGTGGAGTCCAAGAGGGTCTTCCCCAGAGGACTCCCTTCCCTGCCTGGAGTTTCATCACACAGCAGCAAAGATACAGAGATGCTGCTAAAAGCAGCTTCACACTCTCCCTAGAGCCCCCCAAAACCCTTACTTCTCACTACCCCCTCCCTGCAGAGCCCCTTATGCTCCACGCAGCCCCCTCAGCACCAAGCCCCTGGCTCTTGCAGCTTTCAGCAAGGCTGTACTTTATGAGCTCTGTTGGACTTCAAAGCCACTCGCTAATTTGGCTCGCAGGGATAATTAGAAGCAGCGATGCTGTCAGGGCTCCTTTCATTCCAAAGCATGCCGGAGCATAGCGGCTTGCAGATGACCTGCTTCTCTTTTACAGTCCCTCTGGTGCTGGTAGAGCTGTCAGTAGGGCGGGAGCCTGCCTGTGCCAGCCCCGCAGTGATGCTTAGGTCCTCCCAGGTAGCAATTAAATGCTTGGAGCTTAGCTCACCCCAAAACATGACCTGCTCAGGGGTGCAGCATGGTCCTCGAGGTAGGAGGTGAACCCAGGGTGTGGGTGGGATGGCCAGCTGGATTTGGTGTTCAACCTTGGCTGGGACCCAGAGCTCACCCCATAACCCCCCCAGTCCATTCCCTGTGGGGATACATCACCTGTATGTGGTGATGTATCTGGTGGGGAGGAAGGTCTCCACACTGGAGGTCCAGGAGCAAGAGAAATTCTCGTAGTCAGATGCTCTGCAGGACACAAACGGGACTCCTGGCAGGTCTGAGGTCCAGGGGAAAGTGATAGTTAGTGAGGGCGCCCCATCCCACAGCACATCCAGCACACAGAGATGCCAAAGACCCCTTTTGGCAAGCCCTTGGCGGGGGTGCAGGCATCACTGACCCATCCCAGTGGGGTGACACCCACGCAATAGCCCAGCCTGCAGACACGCTACTCACGCCCCAGATGCAGGGACACGGCGTGCAGGAGGCCACCGTCCTCGCCATGGCAGCTGTATGTTCCCATGGAGGCCAAGCTGGCACTTGGCAGCACCAGGGCTCCCTGCTGGATGGCTGAGCCCTCTGGCAGTGCCGCAGCACCTGCCCGTCTCCATTGCACTGGAGACCTGGAGAGGAGAGACCGGGCAGGCTGCATTAGAGGACAGGAATGGCAGGTCATCCCAGGCCCACCCTGTAAACCATTCCATTGGATAAATCCTCCAGTGTACATGGAAAAGACCTACCCAGTAGGGGCACCAGCGCACGACAGGGTCACATCTGAGCCCAGCTGTCCATACTGCACACCTGGAGGGACACATATCCCCACATGAGTGTTAGCGCTCCATGACACCCCATGCCAGGGCTGGGAGTGGAGGTGGACAGGTTGTGGCTGTATCCCACAGTGGGTACTGGCTGTGGGGTCTTGCTTCACACAGGTACCACAGTGGAGGACTAGTAGGGACTGGTCCCAGCTGGGGTTGGGTAACGAGCAGATGCAAGGGGGCACTGGCCAGAGGATGCCCATCACCACAGGGCTGCGTTCCATGAGTGCCCTAGTTCTGGTAGGTCTGTTCCTGTCTGGGGGGAATGGGGTGCCCTCAGGGTCCTCATGCCTGGGATGGGGGGGGGGCTATGTGGGGGGCTCAGTGGGGGGCTCACCTTCCTCTCCCCAACCCCCGGGGATGGCGAGGGAGGCTGATGCCAGGGCTGCTGCAAGGAACACCATCACCCTGCCCAGGCCTGGGATGGAACTGCGCATCTGGGGAGGCAGAGCAGAAAGAAAGAGGGTGTTATCCCCTGCAGTAGGGCAACTGGTAGGGTCCACATCACAGAGCCTTCCTGCAGGACCATAGACCCTGCATCTCCTTCTTGTCTCATTCCATCCTGCTGGGGACAGCATAAGGACCAAATCCCAGCACACCAGCTGTGACATTTGGCAGGGTCTGTGCCACAGTCACAGCTGGTTCCTGGCTGCTGGCAGTCCCTGTGTCTGGAGGGGATATGCAAAGGGCAAACATTGACCAGGAGCCTGGGGTTGTGTGGGTTGGCGGGATTAAGGGTTCTTTGCCATTGCAATCCTGTGTTGGAAGCCTTGGCTGGCTCCCAGTCCCAGGGTGGTCCAGAGACCCATGAAAGTGCAGCTGGAGTGGGAAGGGACCAAAGAGAAATTCTGGCCTGCATTTTCATGGAAGGAGACAGCAGTTAGATCTAAACAGGTTCACACAGCCATGGAGAGCAGGACTGCGAAAACTCAGGCTGTACCAAGTCCTACATCACTGCCCATGCCTGCACCCACTGTGAGGCTGGTCCATGTAGATCTATGTAGATCTGGTCCATGAGGCTGGTTCCATGTAGATCTACGGCCCCTTTGGACTATTTGTGGCTGAATGGCCCTGAAATCCCTTCCTTGCACTCAGAGATCATCAGTGGCTCTGGGGTGAGAAGTGCAGGGGATGTGGAGTCAGGGATGTGCACCCAACTCTTCATGGGTCAACCCCTGCCCCAGATTGGAGTCTCCCTACCAGCATCACCCTTTCCATCCCAGCCTATACATATAAACATACATATCCCAACCTGCACATATCAGTCAGCATCACCCTGGCCAACACAGTCAGCACTACCCTGTCCTACCCTACCAGCATCACCCTGCCCACTGCAGCCAGCATTGTTTTACGTCATCCACCCCAGCCAGCATCATCCTGTCTGCATCAGCCAGCATTACCCTGCATCTAGTCTCATCTACATAGTACTGCACATCTCAGTCAGTGTCACCCTGTCCATCCCAGACAGCATCACCCTGTCCATCCCAAACAAGCCACATCACCCTGTCTGTGCCAGCCAGCATTACACCAGGGCATCCATCCTGGCCAGCATCACACTGTCCCTATCAGCACCATCACACTGTCTGTATCAGTCAGAAATTAAGAATTTCTCTCTAGAAGACCCTTCTGCCCACCCCTCATGAAGGGACAGGCCTGTTATTTACACTCACACTGTTGGGCTCTGCTCTCAAGTGTAAGCAGACAGGGGCTGCAGGCACAGGAGGCAGTGAGCTCCCTGTCAGCCCCAAGTGCAGGCATAAATCTGTGTCCCCCAGGGTTCAACAGCTGAGAGACTGGAGGGATGGATGCTCCAGCCCAGCAAAGGCACCCCAAAGCAGCTGCTGGTTCCCCTCCTGTGGTCGGGTGCCCATGGCCACAGACCAAACCGCCTGGCGAAGGAAACGAGAGCTACAAGGCAATCTGCTGCAAGGGGGAAGGCATGTGGCACCCCACATCAACCCTGTCCTGAACATGCCAGGCAGCCTCAAACACAAGCCCAAAATGTAAATAATTTCATGAGACTGTCATAAGCTTTTCCTACCAAACCACCAGTAGAAATGTTCCCAAGAAACATCAGTTAAAAGGTCTCTGCCAAAACTATGCTGGTAAGTAACTGGGAACATTTGGCCTGAAAGTAAAATATTTTGGCGATGGAAAAAAAAAAAGAAAAAAGAGAAGACAGAAATGAGTGGATTTT